TGGATCGGCAACCAACAGAATGGGAAAAAATTTTCGCAGTCTACCCATCTGACAAAGGGCTGATATCCAGAATCTACAAAGAACTCAAACAGATTTACAGGAAAAAAACAAACAAGCCCATTCAAAAGTGGGCAAAGGATATGAACAGATACTTTACGAAAGAAGACATATATGAGGCCAACAATCATATGAAAAAATGTTCATCGTCACTGGTCATCAGAGAGATGCAAATCAAAACCACATTGAGATACCATCTCACACCAGTTAGAATGGCGATCATTAAAAAATCTGGAGACAACAGAAGCTGGAGAGGATGTGGAGAAAAAGGAACACCTTTACACTGTTGGTGAGAGTGTAAATTAGTTCAACCATTGTGGAAGACAGTGTGGCGATTCCTCAAGGCCTTAGAAACAGAAATTCCATTTGACCCAGCAATCCCATTACTGGGTATATATCCAAAAGACTATAAATCGTTCTACTATAAGGACACATGTACACGAATGTTCATTGCAGCACTGTTTACTATAGCAAAGACCTGGAATCAGCCCAAATGCCCATTGATAATAGACTGGATTGGAAAAATGTGGCACATATACACCATGGAATATTATGCAGCAATCAGAAATGATGAGTTTGTGTCGTTTGTAGGGACGTGGATGAATCTGGAGAACATCATCCTCAGCAAACTGACACAAGAACAGAAAATGAAACACCGCATATTCTCACTCATAGGCGGGTGATGAAAAATGAGAACACATGGACACAGAAAGGGGAGTACTAAACACTGGGGTCTATTGGGGGGAAAAGGAGAGGGCCAGTGGGAGGGGGAGGTGGGGAGGGATAGCCTGGGGAGAAATGCCAAATGTGGGTGAAGGGGAGAAGAAAAGCAAAGCACACTGCCATGTGTGTACCTACGCAACTGTCTTGCATGCTCTGCTCATGTACCCCAAAACCTAAAATCCAATAAAAAATTTAAAAAATTGTACAGAAATTATTGTACATATAATTAACAATATTGTATTGACACTTAGAAATTTGCTATGAGGGTAAATGTTATGTTAAGAAACAAGCAAAAAAGAAAACAAAACAAAAAGACCAAAAAAAAGGGGGGTAGATGGGGATGGCCAGAGAAATGTTTGCAGGTGATAAACAAGTTTGTGTCATTGATCATGAGGATGGTTTCACGGGTGTATACTCACCTCCAAAGGCATTAAATTGTATACATTAAGTATATACAGTGCTTTTTTTTAGGTGTCAATTATATCCCAATACATTTGTTGGAAAAAAAGAAATCATGTTTCTTCCTCAGGGACCTGCTATCTTATCGTATTGACAGAGGAAAGACTTGGGTGCCATTTTTCAGAGCTCAGGGAATGAGGTGTTTCAATAACGAAATAATCTTGTCCATTTAAAGTCAACATATATATCATACATGATCGTCCGAGAATTAAAAAGACTATAAAATAAGCTTACTTCAGAGTTATTACTGCAAACACCAAAAACCCTGACCCAAACCTAGAAACGTGGGCCAGCTCCTTGCTGACCCCCATGGTATATGCTCTCGGACAATTGCTTTTAAAATAAATTCCAGGTATTGGTTTACTTATCCCATGGCCCTTTTTTATAAAATGAAAATAAACAAAAAAGTCACAGGAAAGACTCTGTTTGTAAAGCCAGGAAATGTGAAATTCAACGAATGGTCCTCCTCTGACCACAGCTTACAAATTACATGGCGAATATTTTTAAAGAAACCTAGAAGACAAAGAAAGATCCAGTACAGACCAGGAAAGACACAGTAAAGGTATGCACCTTCAGTTATCAGAGGAGAACATGAACAATGAACTCCTGTGGACATATGCTTTAGGTCGACAAATCATCTGGATAATCCCAGTAAATTCCTTTTGAATTACTGACCACAGTCTGTCTTGGTCCCTGGGAACCAGCTCTACGTCAAGCTGGCTGGTGCTAACACTGAGAGGTGCCTTTGTCCTGCCCCAGCAACTCCAGAGATTCAAGGAAAAAAGTGTGGGGATCTTTACCTTCCTACAGAGATTATATAAATCCATTGAGGAATGAGGCTGATCTCTGCTCCCAACTAACCTTTTGGCATGGCCCAGAATTTTCCCCGTCTCTCATTTTTCTCTGAAAAAAAAGTCTTGTCCTCTACACTGTTGGTTTGCTTTTACTTCCATCTCCTCCTACCGGCTTTTGGAAGTCATTGCCAAACTCAGTGACAACTGAAAGGCAGAGTTATGAAAAATTATTAAGATTATCCAGGTTCAAAAATCATGATTTTTAAGAAGGGATCCAGCAAACTGACACTGGTTGTGGATATCTGGGCTTTCTCTTAGAAAAAGCATATGGAAATAGCAATGATCATAGTCACTGCAGTTATGAGAGCCATATCACTTTCCAGATCAATACGTGACAGAGCTAATATTCTTTGAGTTTTCAATAGTAATTCATTACTATGATACTAATCAGTGAAGTAGCACAATACTAATTGCTTTATGCAGATTTTCCTTCCGTAATTTTCATGGCAACTTTATGGAAGTGGGATCTATGACAATTTCTGTCTTCCAGATGAGGAAACTGAGGTTTGGAGATGTAAAGTAACTTGCCCAGAGTCTCATTGGCAGGGCGGGATAAAATGATGCCTGGAACGCTGGGGGGTTAGCATAGAATCTGGATTCTTAGCTTGAGTTCTCATCAGCTTCTTAACTTTAACTTGCCCTTATTTTCAGCGTTTTTCTACAGTATGCAGATATACTTTTAAAACCAGAAAAGGAAGCAAAAATTTTTTAGCTACGCGTTATAAAATATGCTAGTTAATTGCCATCTGACATAACTATACCTATCTTTTAGAAGTTTTCTTTTGCACTGGCTTTTGTTCCATTATTACTTTGGACAGGATTATCCAGGAGAATGACAGCCATGCGTTGAGCTGTTGATTCCTTTTATGAAATTCTCTTTCAAATGCGAACTATTCTCAAGCTCAAAAATGTACTCGAAAGATTACGGCAGCTTCGTTCTAAGAAAGGAATAAAGACTATTACTTTTGGAAATCATTTGACATCCCAGAGACTGTGGTCAGTGTTCACATTATTTCTAGTCATCACACAACCGTGGGAAGTAAATATTGGTATGTCCATATTATGGATGAGGAGACAAGTATCAGAGAGATTTAGTAACTTTTTGCCCAGAGAAATACAGTTAATAATGGCTGATCTGGAATTAAAGCTCAGATCTGTCAGTCCAAAGCACTGTCTCCCATATTACACTGCCTCGTCTGTAAAACAAATTCCAATCAGTTCTTTCCATAGCGAGGGAAAAGAGAAAGAAGGGAAGAGAACCAAAATGAAGTTACCGAAGAAGAGGAGCAGTAGCCACCCCGCTAACAAGGCAGCCCCTCTGGGAGCAGCCACTTCAAATTCTGTACATCGGATGTATTCTGATTCAAGCAGAGCCTAATTCCTCCACGCAGCCCAGCTGCCTCCCACGGCCTGGTAAAGATGTGGGATGCCACAAGACTGTTTTCAGCAACAAATGACACCTCTGATCCGAAAAAATCTGTTTCCCACAAGTTTGAGACTAAAGAAAAGGAGGAGCAAAGCAGGAAGAAGGGAGGTTATTTGGTGAATGACTGATTGCTCACCCTGCCTGTGCATCCACACTCACAGCTGGGCTGTGTATGCGGCTCTCTTGGGGGGTTGGGTGCTGGAAGGTTCCAAAGCCCGCAGGGTCTACACTCAGGCAGTCACTGCCCCTGGCTCCAATGCATAGGAGCCCCGGCAGCTCTCAGAAACAGACACTCTGTCCCATTCATTCTCTCGAAAGCAAATTAAAACTCCCATTTGGCAAATTCTGTCCTGCAACTTTAATATCCTATAGATAATTGCTCAGTTTCTATCACAGAAGCCATTCTGGCATTAAACAGATGAGGAGTAAAATGGGATTTTCCTCCAGCAATCAACATAAAAAGCAATACCACACGAGTACCCATCCATTATTCTGGCTGTGCAGATGCCTGCGAAATCTCCAACGGGAGCAACATGTGAGCAAGGAAAAGAAGAGGCAAGAGATCCATTGGGATGGGAATAAGAAAAGAAAGAAGTCACAGAAGTCTCATCAGCTGATCAGACATCCCTGCTCTATCACAGCACACAAAAGTCCTGGAGATTCAGGCAAAAATTGTTATCTGGACATTTTTCAGCTGCAAGGCATCATAGTGTTAATCAGATTTTCAAGGAAGTCTGAAATTCCACAAACAGTTCATAACTGTCACTCTAATTTTTTGCCATCCGGGCTGACCAGAACGCAATAAAAAATCCCTAAGGATACAAGACTGCTAAATTCCTTGTATACAGAATCCCATGGAAAAAGAGGAATTGGAAATGATCTACTTAACTGGATTATGTAGTTGGTCAATACAGTTCATCGGGACCTCAAGAGAGGTTTTCTAAACATCGTCTACCCTACATAAAAACAGGTGTGTGATATAAATACAATCTAAATTTTATCTGCCCCAACCTCAGCCACGTCTTAACCAATAAATAACCATCGTAGGCTAGGGATCAGAGAAGCGTCTGAGTAAAAACTAAAAAATAAAATAGAAGTCTGAAAATCCCACTTTACTCATGAAGTTAAATTAAATGTTTTAGTTATTCTAATAACCAAGGCTAAGGAGGAAAAGGACTTTCTGTGACCGAAAAACAGAACAGAAGGATGTTCAGTGGAACTGCGCACCTTTGGTAAAACAGCTGGCCTTAAAATGATGGTAAAAAGATACCTGTATGATAGCTTTATGCAATTTAATCTACAATCCTAAGAAAGCAAGGGAGGTTTGTTGGGTTTCATAGCAATTCAAAGGTCATTAAATAGACGTCATCCCTAGATTTTATCTTTGACATTAACCTTCAGTCTCCCTGATTCCCACAAATAAACAATGGAATCAATCAAAATGACAACCCCAGTTCATAGTAAGAAGAACCTGCACGCACCTGGACAAGCTCCATCATGTCTTTGACAAACCCATCCACTTCTGGGCCTTCTAGGGCTCCCGTTTTACTCTGAAAAAGAAAAGATCCAATTGCCTAAATATCATTCTCTTAAGCCAAAAAGCAAAGGAATAAATTAGATGAATAATTTATTCCGTATTCCTTATCCGTTTTCTTGTGTGGCTGCAAACAGATTTGGAAGTGGCATGCTCCAGTTTCTGTTCTCCACGCAGAACATGAATGCTCCGCATGAATTAAAATCCCTCATTGCAAATAGCTCCATATAACCCAATGAAAAGCCACACTTTCGAGCTCCTTGGCTTTTGCAGATTGCATTAGCGTGATATATGTTGACTTAGTCGCTTACCAGGTGCTAGGTTTCAGTTCAGATAGGTGTTAATTGTAGATACTATTAATCCTTTGAGGTATAGGTTGAAACTTTTTTTATTTTGCCCTATTATTTGGCAATAATATGATGATTATTAAAATATCTATTTTAAATCCAGGGAGACTACAGTGAATGAGCCTGTTAGAATTATCGTTTGGTCTGTGCCTGAGACCCTTTATTTTCTTTTTCTACCCATTTTATAACACTTGCAAACATGAACATCTATAAAATACAATATATTAACGTGTCTGTTTCTTCTCTAAAGTTTCACTAGAATAACTCATCTACTCTCCTTGTGGTGTCTTACTCCTGAGCCTTTAACATATCATTTTTAAGATTCCATTCCCTTGGTGTATTTGCCAAACCCTAACATAGTTAGAGAATTAATTTAATTCTCATCATATCCCCAGGAGGTAGGTATTATTATCCTTATCACCCTAATTTTACAAATAAGTAAAACAAAGCACAGGGAGGCAGAGGAACCTGCCCAAGATCACATAGCTGATAAGCCATGATTCGAACCGACGTAAGTGGTCACTGAAGCCACATGTTTAACCACCGCTATGCTACACTGCCTCTCCCAGGGATACTGTTTCCTACTGGGAACATGACATATAATTATCTAGCACGATTAGTTTCAGGGAACCGTCCTTAGAACCTTTCCCAACATTTTTCTGCTTTTCTTCCTTCTTACGTCATACTATCATGTCCTTAGGAAAGTCAATCTCTTGGCCATATTTTGTACTTATAATTTTTATCTTCTCCCCTCTTTATCGAATAATTGGTTCTACAAGAAAAATCTTTTTATGATAAATAGGTATGATTTTTCCTCTATTTCTTTGGGTTGAAATATGGGGCAGGGGGGTTGTTTTTGTTTTTGTGCATGATGTAATAAATGAACTCTTAGTTCTACAAGAAGGAGAAAACTTGTAGTTTCGGCCCCAGAAGCCAAAAAAAAAAAGAGTCATTTTTTTCTTTTCTCAACCATATGTACTCCCTTGGCTATTTTTACTTTATTTTCAGAAGGTCTATAGAGAAGGTGAGGGTACCTTGACCTAGCAACACAAAGATGGGATTGGTATTCATCATGTAAGTTTAGGGTCTCTTGGGTAAGATGGCTCCACATAGGGGCTAAACCAGTTTCCTACTCAAAGATGGTCAGCACAATATAAAGAAACACACTTACAACGTCATAGTGGGCAAAGATTTTCTCAAAGTCCCTTTTCCTTTCTTCAGTAGAACAAGCCTGTGTAAGGAAAAAAACATTATGTCAATCCAGCAACGTGACAGTTCAGATGTACAATCCCTCCAGGGTCCTGGGCAACTTTTGTAAACTTTGAGTCAATGACCTTTAAGATCCCTTGATTCCACGCTGAGCCTTGTCTGTTTCTAAATAAGTTAAAAAGTAGGGCAAATAGATGCCTTCCTTTCTTCTCTCCTGCTCAAATCCGTAGAGAAACAGAAATGACATAAACCCATCTAGAAAATGTCAATACTTACATCCATTTTAAATTGGAGAAGGAAGTTTTCCTGAAGAGCCAGAATCCTAAATAGAAAAAAAAAAAAAAATCACATGAGGATTGTTCAGCTCTCATTTATATAAAGATGTATAGCTCTGCTATGTGCAAAGGACAGGCAGTTTCCTGCAGAATGGAATAGGTACTTGAAAAACAAAAATTCACCCATCACAAAAACAAAGAAATTAATTGGAAAAAACTTATAGGGATTAGTAGTCACCATAGAAAGACTTAAAAGTTCATCTTGGTGGAAAATGGCACAGTCTGGGCTTCTGAAAATTCTCTCCTCCATAAAGCAATGAAAAAACTGGAAAAAACTAGTCAAAATAACTTTCTCAGAACTCTGGAAAATAAAGCCTTGCAGCAATCTGGGGAGTGCTTATTCTAAAAAACAAGATGAATCTTGATAACAAAGACTATCCTAGCATTTAACTTGCCCTAACACATACACAGAGCCTGTTAGCAAAAGACTGGGAGACTTATTAGTTCCAGACATTTGAGAAAATCTCTGTCCAATTATGAACTGACCATTGAACTAACCTAGCAGAGACTTCAGTGGACACACCTGACAAAGAATATAGACTTTATAGAATTAGTTCAGAAAAGTCACCAAACAAATAAACAACAACAAAAATCATCAATAAACCAGAAACATGACCTATAGGAAATACTAAAGGGAGTCCTTCAGGCCGAAATTAAAGGACACTAGACAGTAACTTAAATCCACATGAAAAAATAAAGAGCACCAGGAGCAGTAAATATATAAGCAAATATAAAATACAGCATAAATGTATTTTTGGGTGTAATTTTTTTGCTCTCTGATTTAAATGACAATTTTATAAAATGATAACTAAAAATCGATGTTGCAGAGCACACAACATATAAAGATATAAACTTAGCAACAGAAAGGAGGAGAAAGACATCTGAATTCTATGAAGGTAAAATGTGAGGTATAATACTGAAATTAGGTTGATATTAATCCAGAATTTGATTTGCTTTAAATTAAGATGTTAATTGTAATCTAGCAGGCAACCACTAAGAAAATAACTCAAAAAATATCAAAAGAAATAGTATAGGAATTAAATTAGTACACTAGAAAATGGCTGTTTAACATGCAGGAGGCAGTAACAGAAGGACAGAAAAATTTTTAAAAAGTTTAAGACAAAGAGAAAACAAATAGCAAATATAAATTCTACCTTCTCAGTAATCTCATTAAATATACACGCATTAAATACTCCATTAAAGCAGAGATTGACAGAATAGAAAGAAGTAAAGCTATCTCCTTATATATATACAATCTTTTATATAGAAAGTCCTAAGGAATCCAACAAAAAACTACTAGAGCTGATAAATCCAGCACGTTGGCAGAATACAAGGTGAATATTAAAAAATTCAGTGACATTTCCGTACATTAACAATGGCCAGTCCTAAAGTGGAATTCGGAACACTACTCCTTCTATGATAGCATCAAAAGAATTAAATACTTAATACATCTAACAAAAGGCCGGGCGCGGTGGCTCAAGCCTGTAATCCCAGCACTTTGGGAGGCCGAGGCGAGTGGATCACGAGGCCAAGAGATCGAGACCATCCTGGTCAACATGGTGAAACCCCGTCTCTACTAAAAATACAAGAATTAGCTGGGCATGGTGGCGCGTGCCTGTAATCCCAGCTACTCAGGAGGCTGAGGCAGGAGAATTGCCTGAACCCAGGAGGCAGAGGTTGCGGTGAGCCAAGATCGCGTCATTGCACTTCAGCCTGGGTAACAAGAGCGACACTCTGTCTCAAAAAAAAAAAAAATCTAACAAAAGAGGTTCAATTTGTAGACTGAAAACTATAAAACATTGTTGAAAAAAATTAAAAACCTAGTAAATGAAAAAACTCCCATGTTCATACACTGAAAGACTTAGTGTTTTTAAGGAGACAGTACTTCCCAAATTGATCTACAGATTCTAAACAATCCTCATCAAAATCCAAATTGAGTTTTTTGCAGAAATTGACAATCTGGTCCTAAAATTCATGTGAATATGCAAACGAACCAGGATAGCCAAAACAATATTGAAAAAGAGGAACAAAGTTGGAGGACTCACATTTTTTATTTCAAAATTTGCCTACAAACCTACAGAATCAAGAGAGGGTGATATTGGCATAAGGACAGATATGTAGATAGATGGAATCGAGTTGAGAGTACAGAAATAAACCCATACATATGGTCAACTGATTTTCAGAAAGGGTACCAAGACCATTCAGTAAGGAAAAATATTCAAGAAATGGTGTTGGGACAACTGATTTTCAGAAAGGGTACCAAGACCATTCAGTAAGGAAAAATATTCAAGAAATGGTGTTGGGACAAGTAGATACCTACATGCAAAAGAAAGATATTGGACCCCCACCGCATACCATATTAAACAATTAACATGAAATGGGTCTGCATAATACAGACACTTTCGTTTGTATAACTTTTAGAAAGAAACATAGGGGTAAATCTCCATGAGTTTGGATTTTGGCAATGGCTTCCTAGATATGACATCTAAAATACAAACAACCAAAAAGAATTAGACAAATTGGACTTGATGAGAATTTAAAACATTTGTGCTTCAAAGGACATCATCAAGAAAATGAAAACAGGACTCTCAGAATGGAAAAATTTTTTGCTGAATATATATCTGATAAGGGTCTATTGCACAGAATATATGTAGAACTCTTACAGTTCAAAAACAAAGGTACAAATCACTCAATTTTTTAAACGGGCAAAGGATTCGAATAGACATTTCTCCAATGAAGACATACAGATGGCCAATAAACACGTAAAAATATGTTCAGAATGCAAATCACAATGAGATACTACTTCGCACCAACTGGGAGGATTAGGATTTTTAAAGAAGATGCACACAATAACAAGTGCTGATTAGAATGTGGAGAGATTAAAATCCTGATACATTGTTGGTGAGAATGTTAAATGGTGTAGCCACTTTGGAAAACAGTTTGGCAGTTCCTCAGAAAATTAAACATAAAATTACTATATGAACCAAAAATTTCACTCCTTAATATATAACCAAGAGAATCACAGACATATATTTGCCCCAAAACATGTAGCAACATTATTCATAATCTCTAAAAAGTGAAAACAAGTCAAATGAACATCAACTGATGAATGGACAAAATGTGGTATGTACATACAAAGGAATATTATTCAGCCATTAAAAACGGATAAAGTTACAACATGGGCGAACCTTGGAAACATTACTCCAAATAAAATAGCTAGATAGGAAAGGCACAAGTTATATGATTCCATCTATATGAAATGCTCAGAATAGGTAAGTCGATGAGACAGAAGGTAGATTAGCAGTTGCCAGGGTCTTGTGAGAGGAGGAACAGGGGAGTGACTGCTCATGGATACTGGGTATCCTTCTGGCACAATTGAAATGTTCTAAAATTAGATACTTGTGATGATTAGACAACCTTATGAATATACTAAAATGTACCAAATTGTATACTTCAAAAGGTAAATTTTATGGTACACAAATTATATCTCAACTTTAAAATAATGCTGTTTTTGTTTTAGAAAGCAAAAATATCTGTCTCTTTTCTGTGTAATTATAATAATACTTTAATAGAATACAGACAGTTTTGGTAGAGTCGACATTAGATTCACGTTGTTCTCATAGTCATGAGGATACACAGAAAAAGTAGAAAAAATGTAATATAACTATGTGAAAATCTTTGCTCCTCTAAATGCCCAGAGTAGAGGGAATTAATTTGAGCCAATTAGAAGATAGAATATCCCCGAAGTCTGCAAGGAATACCGTTCTTACCATTTGCTGGCACCAGGCAGCCCAAATCATGTTACCAGCCAGAGCACATATGCTTGGGAGGTGCTTTTATGTAGAGGAATTGAGCTGCATTTCACAGCTGAAAGGAGAGAGAAAATTCCTATCCTCAAATGTCTTAAGGCCTCTTTGTTGTTGTGTTGGTTCCCTGCTGCTGCTGCCACCAACACGGTGGCTTAAAGAAACCATAACAATTGACAGCACTAGAAGCCGAAGTCTGAAATCAATCTCACCGGGCAAAACTCGAGCTGTCGGCGGGGCCGCATTCCTTCTGGAGGCTCTCGGGGAGAATCGCTTCTTCCGCCTTTTTCAGGTTCTAGAGGCTGCCTGCACTCTTTGGCCTCTTCTTCCACTTTACAGCCAGCAACTAGCATTTTCAAGCCTCTCTGTGATTCTGACCATCCGCTTCCTTCTTCCACATTTAAATGCTCTTTGTTATTACACTGGGGCCCCATGTGGATAATCCAGAATAATCTCTATTTTAAAGTCTATTGATTAGCAAACAATTCTAATTGATTTGTTTAATTCTAATTGATTCATTCTTGCCATGTATCATAAAATAGTCACCAGTTCTGGAAATTAGGACATGGACATCTTTTTTTTTTCCCTTTTTTGAGATGGAATCTCACTTCGTCATCCAGGCCGGAGAACACTAATGTGATCTTGGTTCACTGCAACCTCTGCCTCCTGGGTTCAGACAATTCTCCTGCCTGAGCCTCCTGAAGAGCGGGGACTACAGGTGTGCGCCACCACACCTGGCTATTTTTTTTTTTTTTTTTTTTTTTTGTATTTTTAGTAGAGATTAGGTTTCATTATGTTGGCCAGGCTGGTCTTGAACTCCTGACCTCAAGTGAGGCACCCATGTCAGCCTCCCACAGTGCTGGGTTTACAAGTGTGAGCCACCACACCCGGCTTAGGATGTAAACATCTTTATTCTGCTTACCACAGTTCTCATTTTCAAATTCCATATCAAACTAGTTTTGAAATATACTTGGCGCCCCGTATCGGTGGGTACTTCAGGACCAACTTGAGCATCAGAGGATTTGGGTATTTGGTGTCCAAGGAGGTCCTGGAACCAATCCCCAGAAGACACTGAGGGAAGACTGTACTATACTAACTGTTTTCACTGCCTTGCATCTCTGTTCAGTGCTACTGTCACTCCATCAATTCATAGCTACTCATTGAATCCTCCTAAGTACACGACTTCTCACCAGGTGACAAGTTACTACAGGGATTAAGGCATAGTCCCTGTCCTACCAGCAGGACCGTAGCAATCCCACAGCAATCCTGCCTCTACAGAGTGTTTAGACATATGCAGGAGCCCTGTTGGTTATCACAGTGATAGAGGGAGCACAACCAGTATATTGTACACAGGGCCAAGGATATTAGGTTTCTGGCATTGCATAGAAATTTTCACAGAATGAAGAATTGTCCTATGTCTCACTTGAATTTCAGATATCCAGGAGGGCAACTGTGTCTGTAAAATTCCTGCTTTTGATTATTTGTGTTTGGAACTGAATTCTTATTTGTATAAAAACTCAAGGTATGCATAATTTACTACTTACATAAGTTTTCCACATGGTACATGAATTGTGTTGAGAGATGAATGTACTGTGCCTCATTTGGAACTCTGTCAAGACGTATTATTTCATAAAATCATATCCATAGCATCTGAGTTACCAAAATGCCACAGTTACATCAGTCAGCATCTGAGCTGTACCATTTACCATGATTCTACACAGGTGAAAGCATCTGACCACTTCATTATATCTTCACTATGATTGTATGCAAGCACTTATACACTGAAATGCGCGTTATTTCACAATTTACTGCTTTCCTTTTATTTCTCCTTTATGTTACAGTCCGGAAGTTAGCTATTTCAGCATTGTGTACGTAGGTAGGTCATATTGCATACGGACGGTGAAGGCAGAGAGCAGCGGCTCTGAGCCCCTTCCTAGCCATGGCACACAAGGCTCCTCATCTCTCACTACCTCTGAGACGTGGACAACCAAGTCAAGGTGCAGGTGGATGGATGTTTTTGGTGGTGGGAACCAGGAGATCGCAAGCTTTTGTCTTCATCTGTCATCTATTGAATGAATCCTTTGGCTGCTTTGGGAATGGCTCTCTCAAAGCTCTCCGACCTCTACTTGAGAAGAATGCTGCCTCCACTGACCAAGAGAACCAGGTGGGATCCAGGGAGCAGAGGCAAGAAGGCCAAGATCCCTTCTGCCCCAGAACAGATGGAGAAACGCTTTGACCCTCTTCAGCTGGTCCCTCAGTGGCTCTTCTGTATTAATGTGGCCAAAACTAGAACGCAGGTCCTTAAAAAAGTTGCCAAGGAGGACACACAGACTGCCTCACAATTCCTAAGAGGCACAGATGGAAGGCCATGTCGTGTACTGGGCTCAACATCCTGGCCGTCAATCAGAAGATACTCTTCCTGGTGAGTCCCCTTTCACAGATATCAAAACCTGACTGAGCTAGCTGCCAAGAAAGGAGACAGCTGGTGTAGGATTTGATGATTCTGGACTCAGGTTAATGTCCACTAAGAGACAAAACCACCATCTTCCTGTGACTTTGTTGAGTTACCTCCTCATCATTAAAAACCTGCCCTCAATTGTTGGAATTCCTCTCTCCCAGCTATACCTGCTGCAGTGCCTCAGCCTGTAACTGCTGCCCCGCTTACAATTACCATTGAGCCCTGCCCTGGACACCTGCTATTATAGATGCTTCGCCTAACAGGTATATCTGTATATTCCAGATCCATTTCAACTCTGACCATTTGCTCAGAATTTCTCTCTTTTTTTTTTTTTTTTTTGTAGATAACTCCATGGTGTTTGGAATCAGCTGGATTTCACAAAATATGCTGACACACCAATCACGTGCCACAACACCAGACTCACAGACAATGTCTTCATGGACACGGAGCCACCTCTGCTTTTATCCTGTCCTCCTCCACTTCTAGTCTTCAGGCACTTGGTGCCTCCCTGAGGATGCACCAACACTCCAAGACCACAGAGTGCCGCTGGAGTCTGGCTCAGTAGCTCTGTGTCCTGATATAACTGCTTGGTATTCCTGAAGCCAATGACTGGGATTTGGGACATTTTTGTCATGAAGTCACAACATGGGACTATAAATGTCTTGCCTTTGAGGGTAGGGTCTTGCCATGACCCATCCATAAAGTTTGTGAAAATGTGCATTGTTCATTTTGGAAGGAAGAGTTTTCATTATCTTCACAAAGGCATCTATTACCCTAAAAGATTCAGAATCACTCAGTTCATTTGGTAAATGACTCCAGGTGAGACTTGATCTCTAGTCTCAAAAGGAAATACATGATATCATCAGACCCCTAGGAAGGTATTTCTGAATCTACGATATCATTTCCATGTAACTCACCTGGCTAAGTCATTTAGATCCAACCGGCCATCTTTATTTCTGTCAAAAATCTTCATCTGAAATGCAGAAGGGAAAATGGTTGTACTTGTAACAGGAATTAATTCTGAAAGTTATCAAAGCACTTTCCTATTTTCTCTTCTGATGACATATCTGCCTCAATTGGCTGAAGAACCATTTGCCTGGGGGAAAATTAGTATTTGTCAAGAAGGAATTGCCGGTCAGTTTCTGCATGAGGATAAGTCATAGCAACCAAAGCTCCTAAATTTCAGTGGCTTAACACAACACAGGTTTATTTTTCACTCATGTTATGCTCGAATCAAGGGTTAGCTGGCAGCTTTGCTTCATGGTGTCTACACTCTGGCGACATGGAGTGACAAAGTAGTAACGATCTGGCCACATTCCTGATTGCCATGGCAGGAAAAAAGATTGATGAATAATTTACTAATTAAAATTTTATTGTCCAGAGCAGATCCCTGGCCACACCTACCTTCAAAGGGACAGAATATACAATCCTACCATGTGCTTAAGAAGAAAGCTAATTATTTGCAGGATAGCAGCAATAACTACCACAGTCTCTGGCAGGCAAAACAGGATTATTATAAAGATTATAAGCTTGAAATATGGGTTCTTGCTTTGAGTCAAGGTTTTCTGACATTTTTTTAATAGCCCCCATATAGCATATCAACCACCAGCCATGAAGGGTCCATATCATATGGTACTCCCAGAGGGTACAGGAAACATCTCGTTTTTCCATGAAGGCGAAAGTTGTTGATGCTGAGCCTTTCCTTTCATAGAGAGACTTAGCACTGTTCAAAAAAGCAGTTTACATTATTAGATCAGACTAAATTTAAATGAGCTAGAACTCAAAGTTAAAAATTTCTGCACTAACCACAAATCAGGAAGACCAGATTGGTTTGGACAAAATAGAAGAGATACATTCTTTGTACATCTCAGTTGAAATGTGAGTGAATTTTGTGACTTTATAACATTCTAATGCTACAGAATATCTCTAAACATATCCATATAAGGAGGTTGCACGGGAAAAAAAAGGGAGTGAGATAATCTGAAAATATATCCAACAGATTGTTGCTTTAACAAATTTATCAGTCCCCCATCCTTCCTATCTCTCCAAATCCAGCTTACTTTTTATATTTAAAATGAATTTGAAAACCCATTCTCCCTACTCTGGCAATAAAAATGTGCATTACAGAATTATAACACAGGTTATATTTTTATACATTTGGACATATTACATGTCCAATCATGTCCCTTAAGCATAAACGCTATACAGTATCCCGTAAAAAGTCTGATGGGGATATACTTTGCAAAAAGATGAGCCATGAGTTATTTTCTCTGACATCATTATTATGAGACGTTCTATTTTCATAGAAACCTAGATCAGCTTGAGCTTGAAGCAAGTAATAACTCACCCTGAAAGACGTGGGCCTAACTCCATTGCTGTGAAAACTCACTCCAAGAGAAAATGATCCTTTGCTCAAAATTGGCTTCAGGATAAACTAAATACCAGTGTGGTAAATTATGCTTGTACCTATCAGAAAATTGGCTATAGCTCACATAAGAATGAGAATCAGGAAAAACGTCATTTGCCTAATTTTTCCATCTTTGAGTGTATACCCATGGGGATGAATGACACACATATTTGGCTGTATCTGCTTTTCTACTTTCCTAGGGCCTCTGTAGCTGTAAGTTCAAAGAGTAATAAGAAGGGAAGCTTGGAACATGCCTGTAGCATGTTCCAAGACTAGAAATCAGATCTTGCGTGACATTAAGACGTTATGCTTCTTTGCAAGTATAACCTATAGTGAATTCTGAAGGCTTGGCATATTTGTTTGAGACATAATGGCTTCTTAATTTTTTAACTTCATTAGTATGAGGGCACCATATTTTATATGTTATTACATTTAATTATCACAACATTCTTATAAGGTAAAAAAAATCTGCATGTAACAACTAAGGAAACTGATACTTGTAAATATTGAAGTAGGTTGTCTAAGAAGCAAGGTTTTAATCTAAGCATATCTGTCACCAGAGCTCTTTTCATAAAACCAGACTCTTAGCTCTGTGAAGTCTGGGTATCTCATCAGGAATTTGGTTTGCTTCATGTTTGGTTATGAAGTAGAGCATCTGGGGCTATGGCCTATGCCAGAGATGTGGTATTTACCTTTTCTAACTGCCTCTTTTTCCCTGGGAAAGCAAAAAAAGGACTCTGTATTTCCCTCCAACTTAGTGGTCTGAATTTCCCCTAAAGAAATAGAAACTTCATGATAGTTGAGTCAACTGTAAGACTGCCAGTGTTCACTTCACTGGATTCATGCTTAGAATAGTTCATTTCTACCTATTTTCCCCACCCTTGAATGTAAAGCAAGAGATATTAGCTTGTGCCTGACAACTGCTCCAGGCAATGGGAGCAGGTTGGTCACAGCCTGAGCTCCATGAGCAAGCACCCCTGCCAGCCCCCGGCCCACAACCCAGCTCCCCTTTCACCCCCTGCACACACACCCCTGCACGCTGGGCTCTGTGCCCTGTAGCTGCACGGATGCTCATTTACCCAGGCTGGAATAATGATGAAGTATTCCTAGGCCAGAATAGCCTCCTTTCTGAATCCAAATGCTCACTACCTTGAGTACATTGGTACTCAAATCCCTATAGCAAACATATTCTGACCAAAAACAAAGAATATGAGGAGCTGACCCCTGCCCAGAAGCTCCTGTCCCAGTGACTCCTGACCAAGACCAAAGGGATGTCCTGCTGGGCTGAGTGGCTATTTCTTGCTAGTCATGCTCACCCAGCGTCCATCCTGGCGGACTCTACTGCTCACCCACGGAATCAGAGGGAACCACCTTTACCTGCAGCGGCAACCACGCCCAGCTGACGGTGGTCCAGGGAAGACGCGTTTACTTTGTGAAGTCTGACGACAGTGCTAGTCCGAGATCCCCAGGGAAGCTGAGTCTTCCCTGGCTTACCTAGTGTCTACGGAGCTGTCCAGGAACTCGGCCATGCTCTTTTCAAAGGCAACATGACCGAAACCGTGAAACGTTTTGAGTACATCTTGGCCAAGCTGCCAGACAATGCACCTTCCAAAATACCTGCTGAGACAGCCCAAAAAGTCAAGGGGAAGTCAAAGAAGACAGCACTGACCGCTGCAGAGAAGGCCAAGGAGCTGGCGAGCACGGCAACCACTGAGATGGAGATGGATGCAGCCGCCCGTGTAGCCAGCACTGCAACCACTGAGATGGAGATGCATGCAGCCGCCCGTGTAGCCAGCACGGCAACCACTGAGATGGAGATGCATGCAGCCGCCCGTGTAGCCAGCACGGCAACCACTGAGATGGAGATGCATGCAGCCGCCCGTGTAGCCAGCACTGCAACCACTGAGATGCAGCCGCAGCCGCCCGTGTAGCCAGCACCGCAACCACTGAGATGGAGATGCAGCCGCAGCCGCCCGTGTAGCCAGCACCGCAACCACTGAGATGGAGATGCAGCCGCAGCCGCCCGTGTAGCCAGCACCGCAACCACTGAGATGCAGCCGCAGCCGCCCGTGTAGCCAGCACTGCAACCACTGAGATCGAGATGCAGCCGCAGCTGCCCATATAGCCAGCCTGGGCCCTGCCCACCACCGCCACAGCATCCCAGATGACCTGGTTCAAATTCCTCTGCCCTTTTCCCATTTACTTCCAGCCCCCGCCCCCCAACCAATGCCTGGGCAGTGGGTTGAGGGTGGATATCCTGCTGGCATCTACAGAACACCAGGCATACTTATATCTGAGCCAGTCCTGCTCATTTCCCCATTGGGCAGCTGAAGACAGAGGCACAGCAGGGGTGGTGGCTTGCACAGGATGCAGGTAAATTGGTGATAAGTGCTGGACTGCACATTCCGTGAGGGCAGAGATCTCAGTTTTGTTTGGTGATGTACCTGGTACATCTCTAGTAAGTAACAGGCATTCAATAATTATTTATTTAATCTTTTGAAAAGAAAATAAATACAGGCCTGAATTTTTTCCTCCCTCCTTACACTAATTCACTCCATGAGGGCTGCGGCAGTTTTAAGTGGGCAATAGGGGGCAGTCCTTCCCTTCTAAAGGGCAAGGCTGAAAGGCGAAGAGCCCTTCATCACTCTTCTCACCTCTACCACTGCTTTTCCAAGACTTGCACTCACACTCCGCCCACACGTTTTTGAGAATTAACTACCTGAAGGGTGCCGTGAAGGCTCCCAGAAATGCAACGGCAATGTCTTACTAACAAGTGTCTTAACATCCTGTGTGTGGTAGTTCTCATTCTCTGGCAAGAGACTCCTCAGGGACTTTGGAGTTTCTCCCTAGATAGAATAATCTTTTAGTTTTTCAATCTTTGCAGGTGCAATAGTGATTGTAAAATGCAAAATCACTTAAAATCATTACTGGGTAACTTAATGTCAATAGATACTTTGTTAAACAATTGATTCAAAGTACAACTACTGCCATGTGGTGGGAGAGAACGTCTGTGACTTTTAAACACAGTTCTTACTGAAAAACCTTGGTATCATGCCTGCCCAAGATGAAAAATACACAAATAATTCAGCAGAGTGAAGAGTGTGAGTCTCTCCCTTGCCTGTTCTAGAGGTAATCACCATTCACAGAGTCCTCTGCACCCTTCCAGAAACTTTTAAGCATATGTATATATACATACACACACGTATCACATCCAATTTTTTGACAAATAGGACCATATGCAATATACTATTTCGCAGCTTGCTTTACTTAATGAATTATTGGAAATCATTCTTTAGCAGTTCATTTTTTAAAAAAAAACTTCAAAGGAGATCCTCATTCTTGCCTGGATATTACTGCCATATGCTATTCCAAAAAAGATTTAGACCCCCCCTTCCATATTACCAATTGACAGTTACTTTTCAGCTGATTTTTGTCTAGTAACATCCTACACAGTATGGGACATCCCACACAATTTAATAAGGTAGTACATGATTTTAGGAGCATACCATTGTAATTAAAGAGAAATATAGGTTAACAAGTTACATTCAGCATTGTCTCTAACCCTG